TAATGTGGGCAAACCTTCATGTTAAATTTATTGCCCCAAATCAACGTGAGCTATTGTATCGCTATATTTATGAGACCCTTCCTACTAATGATAGGTTGTTGATGTTGGGCATTAAGGACAACAATAGGTGTGACCAATGTACTGAAATTGAGAATAATATGCATATAATTTTATTTCTGTAAGCAGAAAGTTGTTCTTGTAAACTGGATTAGAGACACTCTTAAAGCTTTATGTGGACCAAGTATTAGAGTGGAGTTAATGAGGTTTTTAATGTTTCATATTAACATAAAATGCAAGAAAATTAAGAATATAATAATTATGTTACATTCTGATTACATTTTTTGTGTGTGGATAGGCAGGCAGGAGGGTTACTCAGTAGACAAAATATTGAAGTTCTTGCGAGGCAGGATCAGGTATAACATTTGGGGTTTACGGCTCATGCTCGCTGATGATATGGATAATTTGTTTACTGAGAATTATATAAAACATATATATAAATGTAATAATTTCCCCTGTAAATTAATGTAAATATAATCTCTAATTTTTGTAAATCATTTAAAGAAAAATAAGTATAACATTCAGGGGTTTTAAAAATCATGTTCTGTGATAATGAAACACTTGTTCACTGAGAATTATAATGTAGTATAGTCTTGTAAACCTTATGTATATATGATTTATATTGTATTTTCTTAAATAAAGATAAAAAAAGTTTGATGGCTTGCTTGTTGTGGAGAGCGTTGTGTTGTTCGGAGCAGTGCATTGTTGTGGGGTGTTGTGGAGAACAGTGAGGGGGTTGTGAAGAACATTGAGCGGTTGTGAAGTAATTGGTGGTAGTCATTCCACATTAAAAACAGAGCTTTCATATATATATATATATATATATATATATATAGATATATATATATATATATATATATATATATATATATATATATATATATATATATATATGTCGTACCTAGTAGCCAGAACGCACTTCTCAGCCTACAATGCAAGGCCCGATTTGCTAATAAGCCAAGTTTTCCTGAATTAATATATTTTCTCTATTTTTTTCTTATGAAATGATAAAGCTACCCATTTCATATGTATGAGGTCAATTTTTTTTATTGGAGTTAAAATTAACGTAGATATATGACCGAACCTAACCAACCCTACCTAACTAACCTAACCTATCTTTATAGGTTAGGTTAGGTTAGGTAGCCAAAAAAGTTAGGTTAGGTTAGGTTAGGTAGGTTAGGTAGTCGAAAAAACAATTAATTCATGAAAACTTGGCTTATTAGGCAAATCGGGCCTTGCATAGTAGGCTGAGAAGTGCGTTCTGGCTACTAGGTACGACATATATATATATATTATATATATATATATATATATATATATATATATATATATATATATATATATATATATATATATATATATATATATTAGTTCAGTCACTCCACCTGTGTGTTGGTGTTTGTTGTGGATTCCTGGGGTGTTGTGAACAAATACATGTTGGTGTATGTTAAAGCTGTTTGTGAGCGAGTGTTAAACTCGCATGTGCTGTAGGTTTGTATACACCAACGTTTGTGTGTGTGAAGCATAAATGCGGACATGTGTTTGAAACGTATGTATGTATGTATGTATGTATGTATGTATGTATGTATGTATGTATGTATGTATGTATGTATGTATGTATGTATCTATGTATGTATGTATATATGTATCTATGAACTAAATACATACGGGCATTTATGTACAAAATACATTCGGGCGTTATGTACATAATACATACGGGCGTGTATGTCCATAATACACACAGGTATGTATGCACAGAATACAAGCGAGTGCGTATGTAATCAATAAATATAGGCACTAGAAAAAAAAAAGATTATAGAGTACCTTTTTGACCCGGCCAGATCGGATTTAAAAATGCCCTTGTTAAAATTCTCTGCTCAGCACCTAACCATCGAATTTCAATGTCAACTCGCGCACTAGAATATCCAATAATAAGGGCTATTATGGCTTATTCCTTACAAAATTGTCCAGGAAAAATATTTAATTCGTCCAGAAGAGACGAGTACTTGACTACTCTTTGTTTATATCTGTTTTAAAATTTATAAACAGAACATTGAATTTTGGTTTATCCTTTTCTTGTTTGCCAGGGATACATTCGTACAAAATTTGCGTACACCAAGAACCTCAAGATCTCCAAGAACCGCAAGGTCTCCAAGAAACACAAGATCTCCAAGAACCACAAGATCCTCAAGAACCACAAGATCTCCAAGAACCACAAGATCCTCAAGAACCACAAGATCTCCAAGAATCACAAGATCTCCAAGAACCACAAAGTCTCCAAGAACCACAAGATCCTCAAGAACCACAAAATCTCCAAGAACCGCAAGGTCTCCAAGAACCACAAGGTCTCAAGAACCACAAGATCTCCAAGAACCACAAGATCCTCAAGAACCACAAGATCCTCAAGAACCACAAGATCTCCAAGAACCACAAGGTCTCCTAGAACCACAAGATCTCCAAGAACCACAAGATCTCCAAGAACCACAAGATCCTCAAGAACCACAAGATCTCCAAGAACCACAAGATCTCCAAGAACCACAAGGTCTCCAAGAACCACAAGGTCTCAAGAACCACAAGGTCCCCAAGAACCACAAGATCTCCAAGAACCACAAGATCTCCAAGAACCACAAGATCCTCAAGAACCACAAGATCTCCAAGAACCACAAGATCCTCAAGAACCACAAGATCTCCAAGAACCACAAGATCTCCAAGAACCACAAGATCTCCAAGAACCACAAGATCTCCAAGAACCACAAGATCTCCAAGAACCACAAGGTCTCCAAGAACCACAAGATCTCCAAGAACCACAAGATCCTCAAGAACCACAAGGTCTCCAAGAACCACAAAGTCTCCAAGAACCACAAGGTCTCCAAGAACCACAAGATCCTCAAGAACCACAAGATTTCCAAGAACCACAAGATCTCCAAGAACCACAAGGTCCCCAAGAACCCCAATAACCCCATATGTAAATATCTTAGCGGCACACATCTACACCTAGACAAGGATCAAGACGATGCTGGTCGTTGTTGCTTTGTTCTGTATGCAAATACCACTGAGTGTGTCGTCATTGTTGGGGATACATTACGTATTGTCAGCGTTTGTAATCAAGGGAAGTGACGATGGTAATGGAGATCAGGCACCAATTGTTGTTTATGGAGGTGTTGGTGTTAGTGGTTGTGGGTGTTGGTGGTTGGTATTAGTGGTAGGTGTTCAGGGTGGGTGCTGGTGGATAGTACTGTCCAGATCACCACCAACCAGAGAGACAGAACTGACTAGATCACCACCATTACCAAACACATAGACACATCAGTAAATAGCACCCGTCCGGGAGGCCACATGTTCACGGAGTCAGGTCATGGGTCAATACTAACATTAATTGCAAATGCTTAATAGTAATCAACGCCACCATCCCCCCCCCCCCCAATATAATGACCTGTTGTAGAACTGTAGCTCTTGTGCCAGTCTGTGTACAAGATTGCCTCGAGGGTATTGCCCTTTCAGGTACTCAGGTACGGCAAAAATGAGGATCTGAAACATAATACAGGGTACAAAACACAATCGAATCTGCCCATAGTAGGAAAACAGCATGTCAAGGATGTGGGAATAATGATGTCCGACGATCTAACGTTCAGGGAGCATAACCAAGCAAATATTGCGTCAGCCAGAAAAATGATCGGATGGATTACGAGAACTTTCAAATCCCATCACAATGGTTGTACTCTTCAAGTCACTTGTGTTGTCCCGTCTTGAATACTGTTCAGTACTCACTTCCCCCTTCAGAGCAGGAGAGATTGCTGAAATAGAGGGAATACAGAGAACATATACGCCACGCATAGACGAGATAAAACACCTAAATTATTAGGATCGTCTGAAAGCTCTCCAAATGAACTCTCTAGAAAGGAGACGAAAGAGACACCAAATAATATACACATGGAAAATACTGGAGGGCCAGGTCCCAAATCTGCACAGTAAGATAACAACGTACTGAAGTGAACGATATGGAAGAAAATGCAGGATTGAACCAGTGAAGAGCAGGGGTGCCATAGGCACAATCAGAGAACACTGTACAAACATCAGAGGTCCGCTGTTGTTCAACGTCCTCCCAGCGACTATAAGAAATATTGCCGGAACAACCGTGGATATCTTCAAGAGAAAACTGGACTATTTTCTAAGAGAAGTTCCGGATCAGCCGGACTGTGGTGGGTATGTGGGCCTGCGGGCCGCTCCAAGCAACATTCTAGTGGACCAAACTCACAAGTCGAGCCTGGCCTCGGGTCGGGCTTGGGGAGTAGAAGAACTCCCAGAACCCCATCAAGCAGGTATCAAGAAGGGTAGCTTATGTTTGGCTTGGTGTTGGGCTTAAAGTCTATTAACCTCTAGAGGGTTATTAAGGGTACCACAATAACATTACTGACCAACCAGCAAGTCTACTTTAGTCCTGCAAATAATTGAGGACTAAGGTGTACTCTCAGTGTGTATATATACACCGAGAAGCTGGGTATGCATCTCGGGGTATATATATATCTCCCTTGGTGGTATTTCAGGTCCCGGTTGTCACCACTAAATTGTTTTTGTGGATCAATAGGTACGAATTCAGAGATTATTCATATTGTGTTATATATAATTCCTGGTTTATGTTATGGAGGAATTATTATTTCATTTTGTGCATATCGAGTCCTTAATTATAAATATATATATATATATATATATATATATATATATATATATATATATATATATATATATATACATATATATATATATATATATATATATATATATATTATATATATATATATATATATATATATATATATATTCCGTCTAGTAATATTTCAGTTCTACTGTAATGTCACGTTCAATATTTGTTAGAAATATGCGCATCAGAATATATATGAATCTAATATATCATGGGTGACATAATTGCCATGATTTGCGAGTTTTTTGATGCCATGTGGTAATTGTACCATCACTCACTACGCTAGTTTGTAGGTTGACTTTGTTGACATGCATCTGAGCTCCTGTGATCTGAAAATGTTGTTAGTCCCTTTGTTCGCCTGCGTCCCTGCTCCTGTAATCCGGATATGTTTGTACGTGCAAAATTATTATTATTATTATTATTACTATTATTATTATTATTGGAGCAGTGCTGGGGATTCGAACTTGCGACCTGGGTACTCCCAGCAGCGCGCCTAAACCCACTGGAACACAATACACTATACGTAATATAACCTGGGATCCTACTGAATTCACTTGGGATCTTGAAGCAATCGAAAAAGTGACGAAAATGTATAATATGCACGTATGCTAAAGTTGAGACCAGAACTGTATTTAGGGTAATGCTTTCTTCTTCTCTCTCTCTCTCTCTCTCTCTCTCTCTCTCTCTCTCTCTCTCTCTCTCTCTCTCTCTCTCTCTCTCTCTCTCTCTCTCTCTCTCCTCTCTCTCTCTCTCTCTCTCTCTCTCCTCTCTCTCTCTCTCTCTCTCTCTCTCTCTCTCTCTCTCTCTCTCTCTCTCTCTCTCTCTCTCTCTCTCTCTCTCTCTCTCTCTCTCTCTCTCTCTCGCTCTCTCCCCAATTATATATATAGAGAGAAAGCACTCAAAGTTATGAAGGAGTAGCGAGACAAAGATGACCCCAGTGGGACATCTGTAACGATTTGGTACATCCGCCAAAGGTCCAGCTACCTGAGTAACCCCTTTCGTTTGATGAATGCTGACTCGAAAGGAAGAGAGATTGGAGGTAAGGTGAGGCGAGAGACAGACATAAAGAGAAAGACGAAAAAACTGATTGCTAGCGAGTGGGAGAGAGACAAGAGAGACAAAAAAGAGAACGAGAAAGGTCACAGGGAGACCAATGGTGCAAGCCATACTGTGATAGAGTTAAAAAACACACGGCTGTCAAAAGTATTGAAATGTGTGGCGAGGCGTTAAGCAACTGCAGGCAATGAAAGAATTCAATTTTTTTTAGCGTATTGCTTGTGCGTGACATGGCGGCTGAAATATTGCTTCCGCATGTACGAGCTGAGTTCAGACGCTCCTGGAACTACTGTTTCAGAATCTTCACTAAGAGGCAGGAATGTAGAAAGCTTTCAGAAAAGTTCTGCTGGCTACATATTCTTCCCGACTTGACGCTAGGCTATGGGGACAGTGACTAACGACTTAGACATTCGGGAATTGACAGCCGACCTTGCACGGAGGGTGACCTTCATTCTACCGAAGGTCACATGACGTGAGATGTGGTGGTTGAAAGTAGCCAGGTATGTGAACCTGATCTCACATTCTAAACTCGAGTCATTTGCCTCCTGCTCTAAGGTTGCTTCTCTATCTACTTCTTTTGTTTTTGTTCTTAAGATCTTGGAAGTTGTGTGTCCCGTTTAAGTATGGCCCCCACGATACCCTCACTGCTACAAGTATTAGACTCTTTACGGTAGAATGGATCACAACTCTATTTTCCTCGACGCCTCCAACCTCAGTCTCTCAAGAACGTTTTATTGGTCTTTGATCTATTCTTCAGTATTTTTTCCAAGATTATGCTCTTTCAGTGTTGTTTTGCTTAACCTATTTTGAAAAAAAAATTCAGTGTAAACATAAACAAACTGACAACAAAAATATAAATGCTCTGAATATCAGTAATTCTTCGTGTCGTCTCAAGAACAATGAAATGTAAACATTTAATAATCAATTAAATCTGGGGATTACGATGTACAGGAAATAGGTCTCAATGGCTTGAACACGTAACTCAATCCAAACATTCAGTGAGAGTCATGATGTTGTGGTCCGTCCTGGATCATTATGAAGCCCACGACTTGATAAGCATCTAAGACAGATTTGATAAGTGGTCCGCGTCCACGACGGATCCAAAAATGTACACTCTAATTTCACTTCATATGTGTGTGGCTTAGGTTATTATAGATTATAATGGTAAAACGACGGCTTCAAATCCAACCACTTTGGTTAGTTGATAAGTGACAAGTATAATTCCTGCAGGTCGACCTATAATCCATGTTGGTCCAAGTTGCTTGGCACCGTTCCTTCACTCGGTCCTCATATTCCAGCTCATCATCCTTATATTCCAGCCCCTTGTCCTCATATCCCTTCCAAATGCTATATAATCATGGTGGCTTAGCAGTTTCTCCTTTAAGGCTTCCTCTTGGTTTCCATGTCAATTTTTCATAGCATTTCAGAACTCATCAACATGAGGTTGATATCTAAATGTTCTTTAGCCAAAGGAAATGACAAATTTAAAATATTTCTCCCACGCAGCCTAAGAAGCGAAACTAAGTTTGTGGAGAAAGTTTTTCAGTTAGACGGCCTCGTAACGAGCCAACTATTCCATCACCATTACGAGGACTCATTAGCCAGGGATCAGACGGCGGCCGCTCCGGACTGCATGAAGAGAAATCTTTGTAGTTTCTCAAACTATATCATCAATCAACTTGTCTACA